ACTGGTAAATATCTGAATCCATCCAGCCATTACTTTACTGGGAGCTTTCTTTTCCAGACAAATCCCAGACATTGCGTCTATTTGCATTAAAAGCTGCTATGCGCTAATTTTAAAGATTTGTACACCAGCTCCCTAAGCACATAACGGTAGCTTTACTGTGTTATAAAAACAGCTAAGCATGGAGAATTAATGGAAGGACGTCTTTTCTAATGTAATTAGTTCAAATTACTAAATCTGAGCAGAACTGAAATCACTCACTTTACTTTGAAAATAAAAGTTTCAATTAAAAAGAATAAAAAGGAACTCCATGTAAATATTTACATCATGGCTTAATTTAATCTTAACAAAAACAATACTAAATAAATCATTGAAAGGAAACTGGGCTTCATGTTGTACTGTCTTCTCAAGACTGATGGCTCATGTTCAGAAACAATATTACTTAAGAGAAAAAAAAAAAATCACCGACACTTCCTTTTTTGTCAACAGAAACATTTTTGTTCTCGAAATTAAAACAGCGGGTTTTGAAAACAGTCTTGAAGAGGGCAAATCAAGAGATGGACTTCACTAACAAAATAAACACACCTGATGGTAAGAAATGGGAACGGGCTTTCGAAAAACGATCCACTCGACGATCTCGCTACACGGAGGAGTAGTCAGCGAACCGGCGTAGCGGTAGTAACTCCCCAGCGATGTCGGCAGAAGGTCCCTCAGCACAAAGGGATCCAGAAAGGTCTCCTTCTCTGCAGGGAAGATTGACAAGCAGAATTACACTTTTTTTTACATGTCTTTAAAACAGATGTCACATTGATAGGCAGCCTAACAAGGTGTAATGGCAACAACATATTTTATCCTATACATATATATATATAATGAAAGATGAAAACACCCTATCAGGAAGGCTCTGTAAGAGTTGATGTGTTGATTATTAAAAGAGCAGCCAAAATGCTAGTCAAACCTATACTGAACACGCACGCTCCTATTTAGAAGGCGTGCAGGTGTGAAATGCCCTTGTTATCCCACTGGTTTATGTTAGCATAGAAATAACACCGTATTCAGTGGTTTCAGCACTCAGTAAATGGCTCTTCAGCTTGATGGCAGTGAGCGTTCACCAAGACCCAGCGAGGACCCAGCCGGGTCCCAGCTGTCCCACTTGCTGCTGCCCAACTCAAGAGCATGGGGTAGCGTATGCGTCCCATCCGCACCAGAGGGGGAAAGGGATGTGAGAGTGGGGTCAATCCCTCCATGGGTTGCTGAGATGGAGGAGGCAGAGCCACGCTCCCTAGCCAAACCTCTCTGGGAGGTGCTGGGGGGATGAGCTAAGAGCAGGGCAGCAGGGCACCTCTGAAACCGAGCTCCACCTCAATGCAGCGCTCAAAGCAGCATCCAGCCAGTGCTCCTGCCCCCGGCCACGCAGGCATTGCCGGGGGTGCTGCTGGGGGCAGTCAGCACAGCACCAGAACCATGCTTCAGAGGTGAAACACCTGCCTCTTTTCCTTAATCCAAGAAACTCCTTCCCAGGGTCCAACAGTCTGGGGACAAACCCTTTCTTCTTGAGAAGCTCCTCGGACAGCCCAAAATGCAAACCTAAGCACTGTAAGCATTTAGCTTCAAGTAACAGTGACAAGCTGGTAATATTTAACACTGCGAAGAAAAATAAATAAATGAAAGGAGGGAACAGCTGCAGGCAAGACAATTTCCCTGCCATCCCTGAGCATTTATCCTCTGCAATTTATGTTGACTCACAGGCTGAAACTCCCTCTCAGCCTGTGCAAAGGTGTTCACTGCCTCAGGGCATGCTGACACGCAGGGCTCTCCCATACATCTCTATTCCTCATTTGCTATATTCTTCATGCCTCAACCAAGAGTCCACGTTTGGGTAGCAGGAACTCTTCTCTCCCTGTCTCATCAGAGCTGCTAGGCAAGCCCGCTCCCCCCGTAGCAGAGCGGAGAAGCAGGTAGGCTGGTGATTGACACACACCTCTTCCAAAGTCAGAAGGAAAAGAAAAAGGATGAAGTTGGCAGAATTCACTTCCACAGCATCCCACAGTTTTATAGAAGTCTTGATCAAATCAAGAGTTGCCTGTACCTCTGAGCAGCAGTCTGATATCAGGGGGATTTTTTTTTTCCTCCACTGCTGGTGCAAGGTGCAAATACATAATGCACTTCAGATGTCTTCTGTTCTTCTGCACAGTGTCAACAGGTGTGCAACGTTTGCATTGCCTTTAGCATTCCAAAATATGAGTAACTCTATTAAAGTCAAAGTATACATTGTAACAGAATACTGTGACCTCTTAATTAACAATTTCTTTCCTTCTAATCCAAGCAGGTATCAGCCACTTCTGGATCCCCCAAAAGGAAACAAATAATAAACCACAGTTTTTCCTCTTCACATCATACCTCTGGGAAAAAAGTGCGCTTAGGTAATAAACAGTAAAATATATATGATTGGCCAAAGTTCAAAGAGATTCTAATCAAGAAGTCATAATCACAGCAAAAGGTCGTATTTAATTTGATTGGCTTATTTTTATGCAGAAAAAATTGGTTTGAAAACCTGCAAACTCAGTCACAGGATTTGATTTCCAAATGTGGCACACATACATCTTCACGATGAAATGACATGGGTTTTCTATTTAAGAAACTGCCTCTCTCTCTCTCTGGAAGCTGAGCACACAGTGGACGGCTCTGAATCGGAAAGAGCATTTGAACATGCAAACATCCTCTTTGCGTTACCAGCCAGTGACTACATATGAAATAGATGGGAGGCAGAGGCACAGTTTGAAAAAAGCTTTCCTCTTGTATTTTAAAAAAAAATAATAAATGTTTCAGTTAAAATTAACAATTTAACTATTTCTAACTTTGATAACCTTTTATTTAGAATGATGGAATCACTTAAGATGCTGGATAAACATTCTGTGAGAAACCGAGAATATGGAGTGTCCCTTTATCAAAGGATGGCAGGAGAACGAAGCTCATTTTACACTTTCAAGGATTTTTGTGCCATATGCTGACAATATTGTATTTTAATAATTAATTGTTCATCAAAGGAAAAGATGAAGAACAGGGATGCTAAATTCAAAGTTATTCAAATTGCAAAAATGAATAATGCATGACTTTTATATTAAATACACACTGTATTAAGTAGTCTACATTTCATCCAACTCTGTCTTTCATTTTTAAACATTTTGAACTACAATATGAATAATCAACCAAGGGAAGCTTATTTAGACAGAGAAATACCTTATTTGAATGCAAACTGGAAGTATCCGACTATGATTAAATTTTGGTTATCAATTAGGAAGGTTTTTTTCCTAGGCGTTTGGAAAGTCATAGGCAGCTGTGAAAAAGAATATTTCTTGAGGAAAAAGTAGCTTTGCTAATACACAGTTTAAGTAGGGCAGGGTGTACTTGATCTAATTTTTCATGGCTACAAGCAACGCTGTAAGTTTTCATTAATGAATTCCAAAGATTAAAATAAAAAAAATATACATATAATTGGATTAAAATAACTACTAAAATAGATGATAACCGATTGATTATGCTTTAATAACCTAACACTTTTGAAAACAGATCGTTCGTCTGTATCACTTCCATCTAGATGCATAGTGCAGAGTTCTAGAAACCAGAGTCACAAACAGATCTTCACATGAAGCTTAAAGAAAAAGGGACTTGGAAATCCAGGAGTCTACCTCCCATATCCTTCAAGAGCATACAGAAACAGTAAATGCCATGAAGTTATATTCCTAAGAGCCTGAGACATTTTTAAAAATGGGATTTTGAAGTCATGTCACTTTTAAAATTTCAGCCTTACATCAGTTATTGTTGGTAAAACTGTGAGGAGAATAATTTGCAAGCTAAGCAACAGCATTCACAGAACGGGGTAGAAATATTTTGTATACGTGCACACATATGTGTGCATATATAATTCCTACTAAATGGGAAAGAGCAAGGTTGGAAATAATAACAAACCTTTTGTCACTGTCTTTTATGACCAGCTCCTATTTCCCATTTTCAGTGCTTGGGACAGGCATGAGTTGTGCCCAGGAGGCTGGGAACAGACTGAGCAGGGTGAGAAGTTTCTTGGAGGGAGAAAGTGGACAAGGCTGGGAACCACATGATCTACAAGGCAGCATTTGCTGACAGGTAACATGAAAATAACTGGCAGACAAAAGCAATATAACGCACCAGTGAAAACATCTGTGTTTGTCTGCAAATACCTGGGAACCACTGCAATCAATGCTGCAAAACCGATCCGTGAGCCACCTACTTGTTCTTACACATAAACCAGAGCCCCACACCAACGCAGTCCCTGCTGCCGCTGCTTCTCGTCCTACTCCCATCTCAGCACCCCAATCCAGACGGGCACCCAAGCAGAAGAATAAACAACCAGAAAATCAGAGCCCCAGAGATCATGCCCCAAAGGACAGGCCCTCAAACTAGAGAGCATTCCTCTGGGAGAGCAACAATACACACGCTGTTGTGGCCACCACTCCCAGGCAATGCAGAAAAGAGCAGCACCCAAAACATCCAGTGAGATGGCCCACTAACGCAGTACAGCCACTTTTATCGACAGTTAACAAACAGCGATTCTTTGTTTACAGCACCAAGGCTCGTAAAAAAGCGTTCACTCTAATATTTCCAAAGGAAAAATTAGCAAGTACCACAGATTCGTTGTTGACAATTAAGACAATGAATGTGACATTTAAACTACTGAGTGTTCCACAGCATAAAAGGACAATATTGTATTTTAACTCTTATATTCACCAGAAAGAATTAACAGAGCCAGCTGGTAACATATTTGATTTTCTGATACAAAATTCATGTCTACATCTTGCTCCTTCTCCCAGAAAAGCAATGTGAAAATTAACACCATTCTTTGGGTCCTTCTCCCAGAACAGCAATGTGAAAAGTAAACCCCATCTTTGTTTGGGCTGGTAAATCTCCCCACTATTTTGCATGGGACCAAGGGCCATATTTTGTACAACCCAACCCAAAGGCAAAGCAATTGCAGGCATGCTTTAAAAAGCTGACCTATTTACACTCTGTATTTGTCAGGGCATCACCACTAGATGTGAACTAATACTGATTGCACACAATAGTTTTCCAAGCAGAGGAAAAAATCAGATCTTTAAAGAGATACCAGTAGCGGATCTCCACCAATTACTGCAGTTCTCACAAGCTGATGCCAGCAAATATTACATTGCAAGAGCCATCAGTTGAACATTTTGAGTTCAAGGACTGACTTGCTAAAAATACATTCTGTAAAACGCTGGATAAAGATAGACCTGAATTTTAACCAAATCACTGCAGAGCAAGAGGCTTCTTGAGATAGGCAGGTAAACAGCACACAACTATCTGTGATCAAAACCCTTTTTAAATCTAACGGCAACTTGGATTGGAGATCACAAGAAAATAACTATATGCCAAGTCCATTTATATCTCATGGAACGCTTTGGGACTTTCATCATGCCTTTCTGTAAGAAAACAGGAACTTGGCTGCATTGAAAACAATATCTTAAAATGAGCTTATTTCCAAAATTAACGTATGTGCAACGCCTGATAGGTGGAAACGTTACCCAGCTACACTTTGAATAACTGAAATCTGCAATACCAATATGAAGAGCTTTGAAAGTCTCCCAAATTTGTTAAACAACGTTACTGCCAATTTCATTTTCACAATGAGCCAAGTCATTCTAAAGCTTCTGCATTCAAACATTTAAAAAGCAAACACACAAAAATAATC